CACATTATGCAGCGGAACTGGCTATTAAAGATTTTACGATTTCGGCTCAAAATTATTGAGGCATGTCCTAAATAGAAATTCTTTAACCGAAATTTACTGCTCACTTCCGTTTCAGCAGCCACTTTTCCCGCCAATTCCATTTTAGTCGTAAAAAAAGAAAGAATATTGCAATAAGCTGGCCTAAAGGGCAGAAATTATTTTGAAATGAAAATCACTTGGTTGTCTGCAAATTGCCATTCAGGCAATGTATGAAAACATTTTACTTATGAGCTATTATCTTTAATGCTGGAATTTACAAATCATTTAAATTAAAATTTAAGTAAATATATTATATATATCTAAAAGCAAAAAAGTACAGACGCTTATATATTTTACGGACTAGATGCAATTCCTATCAAGTTTCAGGCTACAGACAAAGTGGAGCCAATAAGATATTAGATTTTTAAAATTTAATTTAGCAATTTTCATTTCATAAACGTAATTTATACCCCATTTTAATGAAGTATAGTTGCCTGTGGCTTTAAAATAAGGATTCACAAATGGCAAACAGTCGAAACCTTTCAACTGGTTTACTACATGCCAATTATTCTCGATTCTCTACCTCGACGTGGGTTCAACAGCATTGACTTTGATGCCTCAACGTGTTTCTCTTTCATAATTTACGAGCCGAAATGTTTCATTTCATGTTTTATGGGAAATAAATTATGACCCCCGACCAGAGTTTCGCATTGACAACTTCAACGAAGGGCGGCCAGCTAAGCCGGCGATAAGAACTTTTGGCCCACAAAAAAAAAAGAAAACGCAGACACGAAAGATGCCAAAATAATGGAAAAAGAACTGCAAACGGATAGAGGGAAATTTATGTGCGTTTATTGATTGCCGAACGGGAGAAAAACAGCAAAGGATGAAAACTTGTCCAGAAACCGAGGCGAATTTATGTAAATTTCACATTGGTCCACAAAGCGACTTTTATGAAGACAGAGTGCAGCTGGGTCTGGTCCAAAAATATAAGAATGAGAAAGCCCATAAAGCGAAGGGATTCAAATTTGGTGTCTTTCGGTCTCCTCGCAATGCACACTGCACGAAATTAATTTTAAATGTAAGATAAGTCGAATCCTTTCGTAAAAACCCATTTCCTGTTTCTCCAAAATTAGGCGCACTCGTTTTAGATAGGAATATTTATTTTAGTTGATTTAATTTAAATTTCCTAAAGGCCTACATAATTATATAGCTTAAAAATATCGATAAGCTCGGAAACTTTAATGAACCCATTAAATCTTAAGGTACTAAAGAATATAGACAATATAAGAAGCTTTGAAATGCTTAAAATGTTATAGGCTTCACTTTAAATGTGCTTAGATAAAAGTCTATTGAAGGATTATTTTGAAAAAATATGCATTATAAAATGGGGTGTTGTTTTTTTATGTTTGTTTTTTATTTATTTGTTGTTCGTCAACGGTTATTACGAAAAATCCTTATCTGGGTTTAATTCATATCTATAGAGATTAATATTTTTTATCTCCCAGTGTCCAATGGTCGGCGTGCAGTCAATGAGCCCTGAAAAGGAAATTCGACGGGAGTGGCTTCTTAAAGTGACCGGACCAAGAAGGACTCGTCCCGCTTGAAGGAGAATAGGCTTAGGCAGTAACTTTAACGCCGCATGTGGGCCAAGTTAAGAAGTATGTATGCATGTGGGTCATTTATATGCAAAGCATAACCATGGCTCCCCAATATGTTGGCTCTAATAAGCCGGCGAGATGGGGACCCCGCAACGAGCACGTATCCGTGTCCCATTGCTTCCAGAATGCACAACTCAGGTAGTCTGGACTATAATTTGGTCTCGTATCGAACTCCTCCAGCAGCAGCTGCCACTATAAATATTATTTCAATAGAAAAAGTTGCCAATATAAGTGCCAAGTATTGTTCGTGCCGAGCGTCTTACAATTGTAGTGGTTACTCCCCCTCCTATATTTTGTATATCGAAATTTTGTGGCTTCTATATTGTTATTAACATGCTTTCTACTCCTTCAAATTACTTTTCTTAATATTAAAAGCTTACCCTGTGCTTTGGTGTGATTTTCTTTGAATCTCGCATAGTTCAGCCTTGTCATAAATGGAGTCCAACGAACCATGATAACTAAAACTTGGCCATTATATATGAATGAAACGGCTCGTTAAAAATTAAACATAAAAGTTTTTTATCTATTAAAATAAATCAAAGCTAAGAAATTGCTTTTCATTTGAATTGACAAAAGTAAGTGTTGAAAAGAGTCATTAATCTTTTTTCCAAAGAATTAAAAGCAAGAAGTTTGTTGAACCAACATTTTTATTTGACTTGGATGGAAAAACTAGAAAACATCTGCAGAATGCAAGACTGCAAATTGAGATGAGACATTTGTTCCGTTTCTTGCAATTCAAGTTAATTATCTTTAAACCTTTTAAACATTTATATGTGTAAGATGAATTAATTAACTTTAATTAAACCCAATTTTCGGCTGCCCCTTACATTCCACAAGGTCTTCAATTTAACGTGCTTAAGTTAAGTAACATTTGTGGCATAAAAGAGAAAAATGAGAAAAATTAACCTTCTCAGCACTAAAAATAATTGAGCAAATACATATGTATATCTGCTGATTTCCAAGACATTTCATTTAATTTTTAAGTAACGCTCCCTTCTAGACTTTGAGGCATCAAAGACATTTTACGAAAAGATGGTCCAAACTTTTAAATTAAATGCTAAAAATAAGTTCAACAGATGAGAACATGATGTATATACATAAGAGCATATGTATATAAATATACTTATAAATATAGAATCACAGCAAAGGTCAGCGACAACTGAGCAGCTGAGAGAGAAAAACGGTAAGAATTTTAGGGAGATGGCAAAATAAAGCAAAATGGAATTTGCCTTCTTGTTTGCTGTGACTATGAGCAACTTACAAAGTTTAATTTTTTAATAAAGAATATTTAATATTAATATTCATTAGTGAAAGTACATTGATATTCATACTATTATTTTTTATTCTTAGTTTAAAATGTTATAAAGTTATGCTATTTCAATCGTACATCAATTGTACATTGTTGTTTTGGTGTTTTAATAATAATAAAAAAAAAGTATTAATTACCCAAATATTGATACTTGACTTATAAAATTATCTTTGTAATATTAGCATGACATGTCATTACTATCAATAAAAGCAAGGGAAAACTATTACATTGTATTGCTTTTTAATTTTAATTACATTTTAATTGATAACTATGCGGAGATCTTGGTCTTAAGAGTAAATAGCCTATAAAGCAGCATACACTCGTCCGAAATGAGGCTGTGATTCGTCGGGCGTTGTCATTTTTTCTTCAGAATGCCGCCTAGCATATGGGGCGTATGCGCAACACGGATTTACTTTACAATGTCAACGGAGCGTTCGCGTGCCCTGCTTATATGTTCGTATATGGTGTGCGTTTAGGTGAAGATGCCTGGTAAGTAAATAAAAATTCATGAAAGCAACGCTTGAATATGTTACACAAATTTCCACTAAGAGGATGAGGCCCAGGCTGAAAATAAGGATGAGCCGTCTCAGGTATAAAGTTGCCATTGTTTATGGTAATCGGCTAAAGGGGCGAGAAAGTAGAGCGGAGAAAACAGGTAAGATTCTGCAAAGGCGGCCACTATTCACTTCACTTTTGCCAGAGCATAAATGTGTCAGGCGAGGTGCTTAAAAAATATGAAGCGTAATTCCAAAAGCGGTGGGGAAAAGGGGAAGAGAATCAATGGCTCTGAAGGAGTCTCGCCCGAAGTGGAAACTGTTTGTCGACTTGGCTTTAATAAATAAATCGCAGCTGCATCAGTTGTCACATCCCTGTAGCCCTCTCAGCATGTCCTTGACTGCTCGTGATTTCCTGTGGAACTTCCTGGCGACAGATAACAAAACAAATAAGAACATGCGAGTTGGGCTTTGGACTAGTGTATACCCATTAAAAAGGCGTTTTTCCCCAGAAAAAGATTAGCTTCCAGGTGTTTGCATTTTTTGCGGATTACTTTTAAAGAAAGCTGAAAAACAGCGCTTTGCAAGAAAAAGTTGATCTTGTATTTATATTTTCTACTTGCAAATATTCGATTACAGTTGGGAACTTAAAAGTACCGGTAACTTGCCATGATTACTTTTGTATTCTTGCAATTACAGGGTATTTAATTGCGAAAAGTGACGGAAAGAGGCGGCACACCTAAGTTAGACATATATGAGGACGTAAAGAAAGGAAAGCAGGCGATGATTGGATGAGATAAATTTATGGTCCATCTGGTTGAGTGGCAGAGTAAAAAACTTAAAGCCTGATTAGCTAATTGTCTGCGGATTTGAAACCCTTTATAAAAAAAAATTGATTACATATTTGGTATTATTCAATTATTATTTGTCACACATTTTAATTTTTATAACTTTTTTATTTATAATATGGTAAATATTTCATTAAGCTTTGCTTACCATATTCACAATAAATATAATGCTTTTTTAAAGTTAAATATGTTATTATTTATAAATGCGAGTAAATTCATCTCATAATCTGCCTCGAATAAGTATAAAATGTTACCCAAGGACATTTTAACGGGCATAAAGGGTTGGGCAAAAACTTTATTCTTTTAAAACTTTAACATTGCATCACAATTTTTTTTGCGATGGATTTATGAAGTTCACTTTACCGAATTCCTCAGTTTACGGCTCATTTAAAGGCAAAAAGTTATTTTCGCTCATCTCCCTGCCTCGCACATAATTGAAAGACATGGTGAGACTCACTCAATTTTGGCTGGGTCACTCAACTCCCCTGCAATTGAGTGAGCGAAACGCTGCGTATACGCGATGTGCATCGGCTTCGGCACATTACGTATACGCAGCGAGCAAAACCACTCAAGTCGCTCGGCTGGGCACGAGTTCTTATCAGCGGCTAACCTGTTGGTCGGCCGCTCAGCCGCCCGAAGTTGGACCGTTCAGTTGCCTGTGATTCTTCGTCGACGGCGGACGTGAAAATCGGCAGAAAACCGGAGGAAAATCCCTGAAGAGATTTTCAAACAGAGGAAAAGCTGTCTTCGACGGAAGGCTGAAATATTTTCATTGTGCGGTGAAGAACAACTGATAGCGAAAGTGAGAGTGAGGAAGTGCAGAGGAGACCAAACAAGTGCCGGAACGTGCTCGAGTGCCGCCATCCTTGTGGGTTTGGTTTTTGGTTTTTGTGTCTCGAGCCGCTCCTCCCCGTATTTATATCCAAATATCCCGTATACGCCGTGTTGACACGTCGGCGGTCGCCAGTTTTCGGTTTTTATTTATACACTTGCTTGTACTCTTTTCCCGTGCTTAGCCGAGCCAAAAACTTTTCGCCTATGGCCCCGACCCAACAATAATATTTAACGGGAGTGCGAGTGGAAGTGGAAGGTGAGTTGAGTTGGGCGAAGGAACACAAAAATGTATTTGTTAATAAGTTTGACATGTTTGTTGGGGCAAGCCAAAGTATATCATCCCCGAGTATATTCATTACGATCCGAACAAATTGAATTCCAGTCAACTTTTCTTGCGGCCTTTTTTCTTGGCTGCCACAAAGAAAAGTTTTGTTCCGCTGCCAAAAGACCGGGCCGGAGGCCGGAGTCCCGAAAAAAGCATTCAACTTTTATTTTGTTTTGCGACAAAACAAATAAGTTAGCAAAAAAAGCAACAAAAAAAATGTTAAAAAGAAACCAAAAGCGAAAAGAGTGATGCGGGTAAAGGAGATAACATTAAGGAAAACCCAATTGCATTTAAAAGAAAACAAAAGCGGTGCGGGGAGGGAAGGCACGTACTCAGTTTACTTTTTATGACCAAATCAAATGGCTTGGCCGTGACTGTTCCTTAATTAAAAATGCAAATTTCCCTTTAATTTTAATGGGCCCTCGAGGAGGAAGAACAAGCTGAGCACAGTCTGAACAACATTCGATTGATTCTAATTGATCCCCTCTGACATGAATGCCAGTCATCCAGTCATTCATCAATTGACGACTCGATAAACAAATGCATTGATTGCTCTGCCCCAACTAGGGCCGAATACTAATGAGCATGCTGTTCAGGTGGGAATTGGTCAAGTTTGCGCGGCGTATACGTAATGTTAATCATTATTGTCTAAGGTCGAGGCTTGAATAAGTGATAACTAGTTCTCAGATGATTGATGGTTTTGCTTCACTTATTAGTGAAACTCGTTTGCAGCTTAACAAACATTAAGCTTATCCAACTTAATCCGCTCAATCACATAACCATCTGCCTTTCGAGACGCCCACTGCGTATACGTGATATGCGTGTACATGTCAAGGATTCCAAAAGCCTCTAGCAGTTTGTTGGGTATTCCAGAATCCAAAGATGTCTCAAAAAAGAGGGGGAGTGAGAGCGGGTAAAAGGAAAACGCATTTCAATTTGCATATCAGACCGCGCCAACGCTCGCTGATGGCCAGTGAAACTGCTCTGCAAGGCAATTTCAGGTTGCCGAAATCTCGCAACCGAGGCGAAAATTGCTGAGATGGTCGCTTGGCTGTCGTCACTCGATTAAGATGCGTTCGCTTTCCTTTCAATTTGCATTTAAATCAACCTTAGAGGTAGGAAGTGGTGACAAATTGCCGCAGTTGGAGGTCAAAAGGCAAGCTGGAACAAGGTATGTTTACCATTTGTAAGTCAATTTGAATGCAATAGTAAGTGTCAGTTTTTAGGTAAAATGGATTTATTTAACATTGAAAATGTTTAATTGTTTAAAAAATAAAACTCAAATTTTTATGGTTCACTGAAGTTTTGGTTAACTTGTGCCAATTCTGGAATTTTTCTCGTTATATTGCAATCACTAGTATTTTCTTAAGGCCATATGCACATTCGGATGAAAATATTTACATGTTTTCAGTGAAAAGTCAAGAAAAGGCAAACATTGACTTTGAGCTGGGAAAAGCTTGTTATTTAAAAAGTGGCTATATTCAAACTAACAAAATATTTATTTTATAAGTTTTTGAGCTGAAAATTCGGCCATTTATGATTGCGATTAATAATTTTTGATTTTGTTCATAAAATTACACAATAAATTTAATTTTCGAAGCATTCATTTTCACAAAGAATTACTTTAAAAAATAATAACTCCCTAAATAAGAAAATTACATTTTAAATAACTTTGTGTGCAGTAAATAAGTATAATGTATAATTTAGAGTATTAATCAGTCGAAACGTTGGCCGGTAAACATGATTGTTCCTCTCACAAGTACATGTTTTGTGTGCTTTTTTATACCGCTTGCCATTTTTATTGGCAACTAAGTTTTGCATGAATTATGCAAAAGGCTGATGGTGCCCGGGTGAGTACACCAAGTATACATTATATGTTCGTGTGTTTACGAGGGAAATGACTTGATAAGAAATGCGTAGAGGTGGGTAGCGGCGGCCAGCTGCTTGAATTTATTTGATTTCTCACAGTCGCAAGTCACAGGTGACACTTTTACGGCCCATCTGAGCGATGGGGGCCTCGATCCCTACATCCCTACTTTTCTACATCCCAAACTAGAATAACATCGAGTCCAGGGAAGCTGAGGAAACTGGGAAACTCAGACCACAACACGACCGTAAAACGATTGCCATTCTCAAGGCCAGCAGCGGTTGCCATTGGCATTACCATTGCCTTTGACTTGGTCTTTGGTCTAAGTTCCCTTTGCCGCAATGTAATCTCGGCTCCAAAGGGGCGGAGCAAGTGGTGGCCTCCCATTGACAGTCAGTCAGACGTTTGTGGCTAGGATTTTCAAATTTCTCCAGAGACCATCAACCGAGTGGGCCCCACTCGATGCTGCCTTTCAATTTACCTCGATGTCTGGTTATGATTTCGGTCCGTGCAGCTGCTCACTTAACTTTTGTCAATAATTCAGGGCCCACTGGGAAACAAGCTGGGTGGCAGGCATCCTAATGCAGGCCAAAAAATTAATTGCTTTTCAATTAAACGACGGACGGAAAACGAAATAGGGAGGCCAAGCGAAAAAAAAAATCACTTCGTTGGAGCTTCATGGATTCAGAAAACCGCAACTGGGGGTCCGGGGATTTGGATTGAAGCAAGGACCATTACTGCACACTGAGGCCCAAACCCAGTGGCCAGCAACGTAATTAATTCTCTATTCATAATGGAGTCTTTGGGGCTATTTGATTATTGGTGGGGAAAGATTTCCAGGGATAACAGATTAATGGCTGGAATTCATGTCAAAGTGTACAGATTATTTAGCGTATTTTTTCGAACTTATAAATTATTTGCTCTTGAGCAAAATGTATTAATATGTGAGTCCTTAAAAGCCTTTAAAAACTTAAAAAGATCTCTACTCATCACAAGGAAGTTTCTTACTTTGCAAGTTAATAGAGTGTAAAGTTTGTGTCTAAATAATTCATGAAAAGCCCCTCATTTAAATATAAATGTACAAGAAATTCTTTTACAAAGTTCCGAATGAACTTTACGCTTTGTCATTTCCCCGAAACATAACCTATTTAGAATAATCTATTCGACGCCAAAGTTTTTCTGTGGCGCTGGGTGGAAGAGTATTTATCGATTCATTATCATATCGCTAACAACTGGTCAGGGTCTTTGCCATCGTCATCGTCATCATCGCAGTGTGGACAATGCGAAACCTTCTCCACTCCCCACACTCCGGTTTCTCCGTTTCTCCGTTTCCCCAAACCCCAAACCCCAACCCAATCCCTTGTCCAATCGCCTGGTGCAACCCCATATCGGGGGTCGAACAGACAGCGTCCACACCGCGGTTCAAATATCATTAAAATGCAAAAATTGACGTGCTACGTGGTGGAGGAGGTTTGAAGGATGGGACCCACAAAAACCCGAGATAATAAGTGGGCGGGGGGGTGGTAGTGGGTTTTCCGTTTTCTGGTTTAGCGGAGATCCCGGCCATGAAGTGAACATTTAATTAATTTCGTTTGTTGTCTTGGTACGTTGATTAAAACGCCATTTACAACAGTTTGCCTGCATTTAAGTCAGAGCTAAGTGAGTTGCTTATTAATTTGCATAGACTGTGCCAAAGTGCTTCCCCGCTCGGCTGCACTGCTCTTGTGTGCTCGTTTTTTTTCATGTATTTATAAATGAACATATTGTAGACGTGAATCTGCATAATGATAAATGGAAATTGAGACGAGCCAGGGTATAATCCCGTTTCGGGCCAACATCTGGGTTGTAGCTTAGCAACCCAGGATAACTTAATCGCTGTAAGGCAGCTGCCCAGGAAAAGGTCAAGTTTTCATTTTCCAAGAGGTGCTTTTCATTTCAGATTATTGGGGGCTTAGCTTACAGATTAGTCTTGAACAATTCCGAAGAAGTTTCCCTTTCAGTTTAAATTTGTGCACTCTAAGTTAACTCTCTAAGGTTAATTAACGTTTCATGATATTATTTCCTAAGAAAAGTGCTGTTAAATATAATTTGCACGCAAAATTTAAAGAGATTCTCAAAATGCACTAGCATATAACGCATGGTTTTTTGAGAAGAGAATTATGTTCATAGCAAGAAGTAAACAAACTTTACTCTTATTTAGAATTCCACGAACATAAAATTCGTGAACTTCTTGGGGTTTCATGTTCTCCCCAGACGCTATAAAAAATGTACGCCCTCACACTTTGTTATGATTTATAATGTAGATGATTTCCGCCTTGCTTTACCTTCTTTTGCTCTTTTTTTTACGAATTTAAAGCTGGCTCGATGTGAAATTTTCCCTTTAAAAATATTCCCCAGCATTTCAAGGCAATTTTTCGGTTATACTAAAGATTCTCAGTCTTCAGCTGACCATAATAGGAGCCAATTGTTGTGGGTTTTGGGTTTCGGGAGCGTTGTCTGCCAAATGGTCGTGGATCCCTATCCCTCATTATGACTGACGACGGGCGAATACATTTTCCAGTGCACTGCCTTCTGATAAGGACAGTGATAAAGACAATGGAAAAGGGAGGCGCTTCATCTCGGTGGGCGGGGCAGGACAACAAACCCGTGGAGTGGCACTTAGCCGGCTGAGAAGGTTCTCCTAGAGCTGAATTTATGAAGCCATTGTCTCCTGCTTAACCGCAAACGACTTGCAGGGAAGCTGCAGTAAATGGTCAATTAATTATGGTCACTGCCCCTTGAACCAGCCGCGCACACATGCTCACAATGTGCAATAGCGATGTACATAAATATTATATTAAAAAAAAAATCACAATTAACTAAATCAAACTATGGCTTTAAGTCGTTAACGTCTTATTTAATGAGCATTTAAACTCTTTATTGCCAATAAAAGAAACTTAATTTAAAATGACTTCAAGTTAGAAAATTTCGAGTTGTGTATATTGTTAAATGTAAACAAAAAATAATAACAATTTTAAACAAAAAATATATTTAAATGCTTTCAATAGCTATTGGTATTCATTTG